TGAGGTACTGAAAGTCCCAGGTGAAGCCAGGCCCGAGGTGGGTCTTCGGACTCGCACCGTTGCTGCCTGAAGTTCGTGTTGGAGTTTGGGAAAGGAGCTGTCGGCACTGGCACCGCAGCGGCTGGCAGAGGCGATTCGGGGCGTGCAGAGTTCTTTGCAGAAACTGTTCTTTGGCTTATGCAGCAGATAGAAGGCAATGAATATAATGCCAGTGTGGCTCCCAGCAGCATTGTGCATAATAAATTAGATTAACTTCCCTGTGTGCGATAGGAGTGAGTTTTTCTTCTCCACCAGGCTTTGCTATTTGAGACTGAAACTACCTGAGGTGATGACTCATGACATTGTGAGCTGTCGTGGCTGGAATAACCTTAATGAATTGCCTTATCGGAAAAGCCAGGCAGTCTTCAGAGCCACGGTGTTGATGTGCCTCTAAAAATCCCAGCCCTTCCACTGCTCTAAAGCACGACAGGAGCTGCCTACCTCAGCTTTTGCACATTGATAGAAATCCAGGCATCCACTAATAGAAGTTACGCAGTGACGGAAAGCTCTTCCTTCGAATGGCTCAAAAACCTTACTGAGATGAGAGCCCTGCGGAGCAAACGTGACACGGAGTGCAAGAGCAGGGCTGTTATCTGGGTGATTCCTGTAACCTAAGGAGTTTAACTAGTGTGAGGCTGAGGATGGAGGTCGTATGGCAGCTCAGAGATCATGCTACAACCCACGTGCAGCACACAGATAATCCTGAAAAAAGAGACGCTTCCTGAAGGTCTTCTGATGTGAGGAGCTGCTGCCTTGCAGTTCTGGCAGTGCCAGAGCAGGTGGGCATGTGTGATCTCTAAGGGGCTGAGAAACTCCGATTTTGGTCTACTACCCACTTATAAATCTGTTTACTCACGTTCAAGTCGGTGCTGTTCCGTAGTGCCCAGGAGCTTCCTTTTTTTGTCTAAATAAGCAACTGAAGTGCAACGCTGTGGGTCCCTGCTTTCACTGACTTTTCATTTGTTACAGAAATACCACTCGGAGAGCAAGGGCACTGACCAGGTGGCAGAGACGCAAGCTCAGATCGATGAACTTAAAGGAATCATGGTTCGAAACATAGGTACCGGCTTCCCTCGGCACCACGTGTGAGGAGCCCCTCTGAGCCAGGGTGACAGTCCCGTGGGGAGAGTTAGCGAGAGTTCTGAGTTTTCTTGTGCGTTGGACTCTGGGTTTTGACAAGTCTGACCACTTGAAAACAGAGGGTTAGAGCTAGACTTGACCACAAGTGAGTCAGGTCAGTCCTAAAATGTAGCCTGTGTGGTATGAGACTGGTCCTGAAGTGCCTGGCGGTCTCTGAAAGGCCGAGAACCACTTGATGTCTAATAAGCTGCCACCAAGAGCTCCTGGCTCGCAGCTGGGCTGGAGTATTGGAAGCAGCTTTTTGCACCGGGGTTACACCTACAGATTTGGGGGTTTGTCTCTTTCTCCAGACCTTGTGGCACAAAGAGGAGAGAAGCTGGAGTTGCTGATTGACAAAACAGAGAATCTCGTGGATTCGGTAAGTCTGGGGAAGAACTTAAGAGATGGGGAAGCAGCGTTACTGCCTCAGTTGTGCTCATCGGGGAGCAGTGGGGGTGAAGACCAGCATCTAGAGCCCCTTTTAAGCAGGCGCTGAAGCCTCTAGACCTACAGATAGTCCTTCCCCGCGCTCCCAGAGTTCAGAGGGTTGGTTGAGCCTGGGAATTGGTTTAAAGGCAAAATCATAGGGCTGCAGTTCTGCTTGGCACAGCCTGACCTGCAAAAGCTGGTTTTGTGAGGACAACCTGACCGTAACCAGCAGAGTGTGCTGCTGAGTTGGCTTGTTGTGGGCGCTGCAGCCTTACTCCTGGCAGGCATGTCCTCGCGTGAGCTGTTTGGGGAAAGGGTGTGTGAAAACGGTTGCCCTAACGCAGCTTGGTTGGGTGTTCGAAGTCATCTGGTGACCAAAACCTGTTCTGAGTAGGCGGAATTGCAGGATCAGAGAGGAGACTTGGAACAGGGCAACCAGAATTAAAATTCTTCCAAGCTGAGCATGGGAATGCACAATCCCCAGCTGGTTCTGGACTTACCCTTATACTTTATCTTGTCCCTGGAGTAGTGTAGGAGAGGTTTTTTTTTCTCTTGATGCCTGTTCAGTTTTGTTTTGGTGTCGCTGCAGGAGTTAAGTGGCTCTGGAGGAGGTGACGGCAGTGGTTTGGGTTAGCAGGGAGGTAGGAGCTGGGAAATCTTGGGATGCAGCTTCCTGTGGAGCAGGTTCAGGAGTGAATTAGCTGTTTCACTTTCTCTTGTAGTCCGTCACTTTCAAAACTACCAGCAGGAACCTTGCGCGAGCCATGTGTATGAAGAACCTCAAGCTTACCATCGTCATCATCATTGTATCAATTGTAAGTATGGGGCACAGCAACCTCGAGCTCTTAAGTCAGGCTTAACTACTTGGCAGCGTTGCTGTCTTTAGAGCCAGCTCTGTGCCTGGAAGGGTCTTAGTCCTAAAACAAGAGTTTCGATGGTGCTGTGTGAGCGGAGGAGAGAGGAGCACTGTGCCAGGCACCTTTTCTTTTCAAGGCAATAGGAAAAGCTTGCCAGGCAATTCTGTCTCGCTTCTAAGTGCCCGTTGTAGGCAGCTGCCTTGCCAGCTCCGTGAGAAGCTCAGGTATTGAGTTTATGGCTTTTTAGGCCTCAGTCCTGTTGGTATCTTGTGACTTAACTTTGGCGTAGCTTTTTTCCTGTGTGACAGGGTCCCTCCAGCCTGTAATAAATGCAGACAGTGCTGGGATATGAATCTGCTGATGTGTCGCTGCGGGTTAGACGTGTGAAGTGCTTTGTCACAGCTGAAGCCTCATTCATGTTTTGCTGGAGAGTGCTTCTTGTCCCCAGGTTGCTTCAAGGATGTGGAGGAAGAGGCACTAAGTCCTGTGGGGCTGTTGACAAGTTATCTTGGGTTTGGATGATAACCTGGGGTTTCCAAGCTTGTGTTTTGATTTCCGGGCTGAGTCAGCAGCAAACCGGCGATGGAAATAGAATTGTCTACTCAACAGGCTGTTTTCTTTCTCCAGGTTATCATCTATATCATCCTGTCGGCTGCCTGTGGTGGGCTTGCGTGGCCGAGCTGTGTGCAGAAGTAACTGGAGGCAGCTGGTGCTGGTCACTTGGAGATGAGAATCACAGGAGTGTGAAGAAGCAACCTATGGAATAACTCTTAATCTTTCACTACTGACACCTTCTCATTCTTCCACCCCTCCAGGACTTGAGACTTTTTTGCCTTATCTCCCCAAACAGGCCCAGCTGGTCACTGCTTCTGTGCAGCTGTAACCTCGAGGATGGGCTGTTTTAAATTACTTGAAGGGATTATTATTATTTTTTATTTCTTTTTCTGTCCCAACTACAACCTTCTCAGCTGGGTGGGCGGCACGTCCGGCTCTGGAGGGCTCTGTGCATGCTCGCCTGTGTACCCGTGTAGCTTTGTACTTTACCGTGAGCGTGCAGGTGCAGAGCAGTACTGCTGGCAACCCTCCTGCCCACGAGGATGGTGCTGAGGGTAGTTTGGGGGGACTGAGCCCCACTAACAGGAGAGGGACAAGATGGGTGTATATGAATTTCCACTTTCTACAATTATTGGAGATCCAGGTGCCTCTCCCTGCACACCTGGCCTCATGTGGTTCTGCAGTGTCTCAACATGTAGAGGTTTACTACTCGTAATAAACAGAATGGTTTTGGGGCTAGGGCGTTATGGGTCAGATGTAGGTGCTGCCCCTGTATGAAACCTCCCTTTTGCTGGAGGCCTTTCTGCAGGTGGTAGAAAAGGGGGTGAGGTCACCTCTGCATTTCAAAACCGGCTGCCTCTTCATCCTCGCTTCATCCTCATCTCCCCCTCCTTGATATGTGGCTGAACTGGTACGGTAAAGGAGATGGTTGCATATAGTTAAGGTTGCAGTAACGTATCTGCTTTCTCACGTTATTTCTCCTGCTCTTCTTCTGAGGGTGGACTAAAATGAATACTAATGTGATCACTTGCTAAAGTGAAATTGGGGGCCAACCTGTTGATCTGGCTTGATAAGGTGTCAGGTACGCGCTGCTTGTGCTTCTGCTCTGAAGGTGTGTGCTAAAAACTGAGGGAGAAGGGTCAGAAGGTCGGAGCTGATGGAATGTAACTTTCTCTAGGGTCCGAGGAAGAAAGGCTCTTTCAGAGGACGTAGTAACACATGCTCCTCTAAAAAGGAAAAAAAAACAACCCCCAAACCCAAGGCTAATAACCAAATGTAGGAGGATCAGGTATGCTGCTGCTGTGCTGCTATCAGGGGACAGGGACCGCTCTGCCTGCTTGGGGAGAGCTCCGTGTCTGCCCCAGCTGGGCCGAGCCCGAGTTGCTGGTGCTCGGGGCGTGGGGAGCAGAGGCTGCTGGCTTGGACCGTGCAGGCTGGTTTCTGAACGAAGAAATAGAACCAGTGGAAATGTCATAAAAGCATCAGGGGGGCTACAGAGGAAGCTGCAGCTTTGGGGCCCAGAGAAATGGCTTCTGATGGTGGGTGGAAGCTGCTGAGCTGTGGGAAGGGCAGGCTTCGTGTGGCGACCCCACTCGAGCGCTTGGCTGGGGCCTGGAGGCACACGAAACTGCTGCTCCTTCATGTGCTTCTCCTGGTGTACGTCTACGCTGACCTTGGAGCTTTCCAACAGGTGCCAGATAAAGAAGTCTATAAACTTGTCCACGGACTTGGATTTGTTTTCTGCTAGGCTGAAATTTAACTAAGGGTAATCAGATCAAGTGTCGGTGGTTCTGATCAGCACCGTGCTCACTGGCATCCGTTTCTGTTATCGTATTAATCGAATGTAAAGCTTAGAGAAAGATTTCCTTCCTCTTCCCTTCTACTCCTAGAGCCGCCCCGCAGTTCAGCGTACAACTGTGCATGTTTTAGGGATTGCTGATGTTACTGTGTTCATTTCTATGATTTGTTGTCTTATGTACAAATACTTTTTAAAGAAAATACTTCCTTTCCTTTTAAAGGATGCACTGAGGCATTAGTGTAAAAAGAAAGTTAACTTGATTTAAATAAAATGACTGTACAGAAAGCACATTTCCTTGGTAGTGTGAAAGGTGGGTCTAGCACCAGCTGTAGACTGTTGGTAGGAACCACTCTGTGAAACCAGTGTGTAGCCGGGTCACCCCGGCTCCAGACTTGGCACCTCCCGTGGCTGCTTGGAGCTCATTGCACACCGTGATGCAGTGCAGCCTCTGCAAACACGCTGCAGCCTTTCAGCTCCCTCAGGAACGTGAAATGCTGGTGTAGCGCTGGGTTTGGGAAGCAGGCTCACGCGGCAGTACGAGGGAGTTGGATTTCCTCTTAAACTTGCAGAAAGTGAGTTCAGTTGATTGTTATCTGGGTTTGAGGCAAAGCAGCATTCTAATGCTATCTGCTAGGGCTCAGCATGGTGCAGACTATAAAAATGTGAAGGAATATCACTTTGTACTGAGAACAGCTTAGAAAAATGAAAGGATAAAACTTGAATTAACATCTCCTTAGTGCGAGAGTTTTTACAGAGGTGGGGTTTGTGCTTAATATTCCCGCCCCGTGGCCCAAAAGCAAAGAGAGGACCCTCTCCTGAAGTGACACAGCCACCTTCAAGTGCTTGTTACTGTCAGATTCGTACTTAAACCACCCATGAGTTCAAGCAGCAGCCAACCTCGGGATAAGGCCCTGGTTCACCTTGTCGCTTACTTCTCTTGGCAGCCTTGGCTCTGTCTAGAACTGGGGCTCCAAGTCTGTATCCCTGTATAGAAACAATATCACATGCCTCATAAGCTTTACGTAAAAAATAAGCCTAAACTATTTAAATATCTTTTCCATAAGTTTTCTGTTCTTTACCTATCATTAAATACCCATTTCTGTTAAGTATTATTAAATAGTCGCTGGCTCAACTGAGGAGACTGCAAAGAAAGCCACTGCCTGGGAAGTGCACCTCTGGAACAGAGCCCACAGTAATGACAGTGCTGTGAATTAAGTTTTCCTGCCTTCTTCTTAGGAAACCCAAGGAGATTAAAGGTCAATATTGATAGTTGCATCGTAAGAGACTTCCCCTGGACACCTGCTTACCTATTAGGCAGAGCGTTAAGTGGTGAAGTGCAGAAGCAGACTGCTGTAGGGCTGGGCCTGCCGGGAAAAGCCTCACTGCTGGCACAAACCCACTCACAAGTCAGGCTGGCTGTTTGAATAAAGCAGATCTATTTCAGCACCATAACATTTTTATTAAACTACACTATCAAAATCACATTGATGGCAGGGAGAACATTGCTATCAGTGCATGTTTTCTGTACTAGGACTGTATTCGGAGCATCCTTGCTGAGGAGAAGGATGCTGAAAGAGAATCCTTCGTAGCCAAAGGCAGTAGAAAACTCTTCTACAAAAGTCAGGGCAGTTAAGGGCGAGCTGGAAGAGATCCAAGGGGAACACTTCAAATCATTGGGGGGGGCTACTCTTAAAAAGTTGACTCTTAACTGGTGTTTGGTAACTTCCTCATCTGAGAGATGAAGATGCTGATAAACAGCAGCTTTTTAAATCGCATCCCCTGTCCCTGCAACTGCCTGTTCACACACCCACACAAATATTGTGTACTGCTCCTTCGCTTGTGAACGGTGATGCGCGTGCTTGAACGCAACAGCTTGACGTGTGCTACAGTTATAAAAACCTGCTTTGGCTCCTAGAACAAACAATAAAAAGTAGCAGAAATACATTCTATACAGAAGTAAAAAACAAAAAAACAACCTCCAAAAAAATCCAACAAAACTGAACCCAAATGGCTGAGTTTCAGACAAATATTAGAGTACATCAGGTTGAATTTTAAAAGTCTTACTTCTAACATCTATGTAACTATTTCTAGTCTCCCCAGGCCACTGCTTGTGCCACACCACAGCCACGGCTCAGAGCTGCTCTCTGGCACGGACAGGACAACCAGCAGCCTTTCTAAGCCAAGGTCCTGCAGAGCAGGTCCCGTCAGAAGTTGTGGGATTTTTTTTTTTTTGTGATAAACCTCCCCAAGGGCTGCTCGTAGAGGTTTGTGTGAAATAAGGCTATTTTCAGTCTTCACGTGAAGACTCACATTTCAGAAATGTTTTGAACCGCGGAAACACAGTAACGCAGGTGACTGTTCCACCGCTACGAGGTCAGGCTGGTGGCAGAGCCGCAGGAGGTGAGGACAGTTTGTGTTGGAGAGGAGAGGAGCGTATGTACATCAGTCTGCAGTGCGATGGGTCTCTGGAGTTCCGTTTTCAAATAACGTTCTTGGGCCCAGCCAGCTGGGGTCCTGCTTCACAGCGCTGTTTGGCAGTGCGTCAGCGTTTCGGGGGTCAGTAACACCCCTCCTTCCAGGAATCGTCCTCGGCCGTCTGCGCCGACTGAAGAAACCTGCTGCAAGACACACACACACAAAATGGTCACCAACAGCGACGAGAAGCAGAGGCCCCAGCAGCGTGTTGAGGCACAGGAATGCTTGTCTGAGGCTTTAGGTGATACCAGACTTCTGCAACATCAACATGTGCCTGAGTATGTTTTTAAAGGAAGTTTATTGAGGGCTACAACGAGGCATTAAAAGAAAATCACCAAGTACTTACTGCTTGTTGGGCTGATGCTGAATCAACATCCCCTCAATCATAGAAGTTTACACTACGGTTGTACTGCAAACAGCTGTGAAAAATAGCCAAGTACACACTTGGCGAAACTGGCATAAAGCAGTTTGTGCTGTTAGAAGCATCTTAGAGGCCTTGTTCTTTAGAATATGTTGTAACTAAACAGCTGTTGTTTCAGAGGAGCTACAAACAAAATATTTAGGAAGCGAATCGTAAAAGCTAAAAGCTAGAAATAAACATTAAAAAAAGGTCCAACCCCCCCTGCATCTTTCTGGATTACGATGTGACCCCTAAATCAGTTCAGCCTGGTGCAACAAGAACAAAAATTCTGAGTTTTTGGAAGCCATTATATATGCTCTGCTTTCCCCTGTTGTGTGAAGTTACTACAGTGACACAGAATCACGCTTAAGACAAGCCTTGTTCATTTGTCCTGCTTCTGAAACCCTTCTGCAAACTCATTAGGTTTGCACAATGCCCACCTAGAGTCCTCACTAAAGCCTACGGCAGAGAGAAACCAACACCAAACTTACTCTGCCAGCAGCAAAGTTAGAGAGGCACCAAAGGAGGTCATCTGGGAAGATTATTATATGAACAGTAAAGAGAGCTTATTAGTCCTTCCCAAACCCAGATGTAGGCACCAAATAAGTATGTACCATCCACCGTATTTATTTCTTACAGAAATAAGTTTGAGGCTATGCCTCTTCATTTTCCTGAGTAATTAACCTTGTTCCAAAGAAGCACTTTTTTAAAACAGACGGAATAGTGCAATATTGAATGGTTCGGTCACAGATCACATGGCAAAAAGGAGGTATCTTGCCCAGAAGCTGAGTCCCAGCCTGTCAGTTCACACAAACATTCAGGGATTTCATTTTAGTGGCATTTAAAGGAACTTCCTCTTGACCGGGGACATCCAGGACTCTTCCAGCTACGTACTACCCACCCGCAATCCCACCTCTGAAGTTCCTCAGTAGCTCTGACCCAACTCTATACCCCTGTCAGACTTTAAAACCAGAGGTGAGCATAACTTTATCAAAAAGTGGTTCCAATCTGCAAAATAAAGGCCGACACCTGAGGTGGTGAGGCCTGAAGTCTCGCCCTTACCTCCTGGATGGAGGTGTGGGCTTGCTCTTGGGCACCGAGATTCCTCCCATGGACGCGCGTGCTTTCATGGGTGAATTTTTTGCCACGGTGACGATGTTACTGCTCCTGGTAGTGCAATTGCTGCTGGAAGAGCCCGTACTAAGCGAAGACACCTGTGGTTTTCGAACGCCGCTCACGGGGCCAGTGTAACTGCCGGCTTTCACCGGCTGCCTGGGTGTCAACAGAGAGTTTGTGCACGAGCCGGCTTTCAGGGGTTGTCGCACTGTGAGGGGAGACTGCCCAGCACCGGAGGAATACCTGAGCTTACTGGGAGCCAGACCTAGAAATGGAATAACAGAAGAACAAGCCAGTTGGCAGCAGTATGTTAAGAACACTGCAGGGTGCTGGGCCTTTGAAGGGCCTCTCGGGTCTAGGCAGGGGGGTTAAACGGAGCAAAGGCGATCAGGGGCGTCGGGAAAGCATCACACCAACCTGCTGACCGCTGCTGAGTTCTTGGGATCCGACTGCTCGGCACCTGCAGGTCTGACTCCAAGCTCCGGCTGCTCCGGACAGACTCCAAAGCTCGAAGGCTCGACCTGGCCAGGTTGGGCATGCTGTGGCGCATCTCCTCTGAAATCAAGAGCAAATTCTCTATTCGCTGCTTCTGGAGATGTGTAACGGTTTAGATTATCTCCTGAGAAAACACACACCCTTAAAAGCAGAGTAGTGCCTAACATTCTTAGCTTCCCTTGGGTAACATCACAAACATTTCCACGGATTCGTACCAAAAAGCTCCCAGGTGGCTCACCTTCGCTGTTCGCGTACTTGAGACGGTCTTGCATCGGACTTTGCACGGATCTCCTCGGGGGCCGGATTCGGGAAGCAGATGACCTGCTGTAATCTGTGCTGGAAGAAGGGGACTGACACCGGGGCGAACTGAGCGGAGAGGGTGAGTATCTGTGAGCGCTACGGTACGACAGGGAGCAGTCGTAGTCATCCTCGTCCTCGAGGCTGTACGTGTCGAACTCCTGGTCGCTGTAGGTCCCTCTGCGCAAGGAGTGAAGGGAGGCACTGGAACTGCGCCGGGACACAGAGGCAGAGCTGGAGGCACAATCCTGGCGGAGGCCTGGAGACGGAGGACAGCACAGCTCAAAGTCGTCACAGTTTAAAATAGAAACGTCTTACCCAGCCGCCACACAAGTTGGGAAGTGATGCTGTGATCAGCGATTCGCTCCGTCTGGGAAGGAGAGCCAAGACAGGAGCTCTCTCTGCTGGAGGCAGTCCCACCAGATGGAATCTCTAACCTAGAACAGTGTCACCCACACCACCACTGCTTCACCAGAGCAAAGAGTTAATATTCAATGGACCTGAATCACTTCTCACACACCCAAGCAGCTGGGGTTGAGGACTGGGCCAGCTCAGTGAGGTTAACTAGCTACAGGAGTCTACTTCACAATTTTTTTAAGTATTTACACACCCACCAGCATTTCAGCAGGTTGAAACAAAGATTTGAGCTTCTGCCTCCAAGTAGGAAAAAAACTCTTTCTATTGACATCTACGGTGCATCTGCCTGGTTTATTTACAGGTCCTCCCCCAACTCCTGCCTTTATTTAAGGCTTTTTGCCCAACAAAATCCAAGCAACACCTTAGCAAGAGCTAATTTAGCTAACTGGCTGAAGGGACCTGGGAGAAAGGTGACAGTTGATGCTCTGAACTAAAACTCTTCTCAGTGCAGTCCCTTCACTGCAGGGATTAAAATAAAGCAAATGTTCCCCCCTCTTCTCCCTTGACAATGCAAATACAAAAAGCTTCCATCATTCGGAGGATGAAGTGCTCTACATATTACCAAGTTTCCAGTGAAATGGGATGGGATTTCCTTGACTTTTTTTTTTTTTAAGTAATCACAAAGCATATGAAAATATTCAAGTTTAGAAAGATAAAGGCCGTTATTTGTTTTATTCATTTTAATAAAACTTTTCCTCAGCTGTGCTTAGGTGTAATAACAATAAGATCTCATGTCTTTTGCTCTTTTTAGTCTCATCTTCCAACTCCTAGACCACAGTGTGTTTTTTAAATTTATAAAGGCGCCGTCCTGAAAGTAAGAAAAGTTCTCCACAAGAAAAAACAGAGAACTTTATTCTCTATTTCCTGTAAGTCAAATTAATGATTAATTTGCACAGCACAACAGATCCAACTGCTTTGTTCCACCTTGGTGTTCAATTAGGACCTCATCCAAGTCACACTGAAGCCCAGAGAAAGTTTACCGAGGATTTAATGGGGACTGGATCAGGGCCCTGAAATCCCCACACGCTGCGACACACACACGGTTTATGCTTCGGTTAAGTCAGCAGAGCTGCCTCCCAGCCCTTCACCAGAGCAAAACTGAAACTGTCATTTCAGCTCTTGCAGTTTTAGACCCAGAACTCTCAGTTTTACTCCACACGGTGGTGAAACAAACAGCCTGCAAAATTCAGCCTGCTGGACAGCTTCTAACGTGATTTCAGCCTCTTTAGAGAACCAAAAATTGACAAGCAAAAACATGTTGCCGGGTTATTTTTTCAGCTGGATGGGCTCCCCCAAAGCAGCCCGCGGTGCAGCCACCGCTTCCGTTTGCTTCTGTCTGCGCTGCCACTGTTAGGAACCAGCTGCTCGGGGAACTTCACCCGTACTTCGGAGACAGCCCGGGACGGAGTATTTTTAAGTACTAAAGGGCGCCTACATGTTTAATAGAGACTATCCTCTGCTTTAAGAGGTGCAATCTTAAATTTAGCGGTTGTACAATGTTCTTAAGTGGCAGCTTGGGCCTGTAGATTTTTAAAGGAAGCCCCTGCAAATCGCAAACATTTCAAGTGACCCAATAACTTCTATTTTCATCGGGGAAAACGGGAAGAGAAGAACAGGTGGAATCCATCCACACGGCTCTACAATTCTAAAAGCGCGACACAAAGGAGGTGGCCGTCACGTACTTTCCTCCTGCAGGCGTGCCATAACCTGGACATCAGTCAAGTCCTGCAGTTTGTAGCCCATGGAGATGGAGTCGTCAGAGGTACTCAGCTCGCTGTCCACCGACGACTGAGAGCTCAGAGCAGAATGCATGCTCAGGTATCCTTTGGGAGGGAAGAGAAGGGGGAAAACAGAAAAAAACCAGCATTCAGACATCCACATGCCAACCAAGAACGAGCAGCAGAGTACGTATTCCAGTAACAAAACCGGCGCGGTTGAGAAGCTGAGGGAAGGTTGCTAGAATTAATTAGGAAGTCAGCTTTGTGTTCTCAGGCAATTTCAATGTGTTTTAACCTGGAGTGTATTTGTGCAGGGGAAAAAAAAAAGTGGATTTCTGTCCAGAAGGTGGCAAAGACAGACTTGGTACTCTTGAGCTTAGGATCCTCCTTGAAAATGTCAGTATTACTTCAGAAAGGGGCAACTGTTGATGTAGATATTAAGCAGCAAAGTCAGACAAAGCGTTTGCTGGAGCGCTGGCGCGCAGTCATAGCAGTTCCAGAATGCAAAGGGCTTTCAGAGTACAGCACCTCACAAATCAGCTGAGGCAAAGCAGAACACACACCACACTGCTTCCTCCCCAGCCCTCAAGTTCATCCTTTTTTTTTTTTTTTAAATAAACCAAACCTTGTCTTACAGGGAAGGACATAGCTTGTTCATACAGTAGGTCATCAAAAAACCAAACTGGAAGGATCTTTCCACCAGGCAAGTTTTTCCATAAGTCGGGCATTAGGAAGAGGAATACATAATTTTCCTTTTGAAGAATAATAATAAAAATACCATCAAATTCATCAAGTGCAAGCTTTCACCTGCTCCCCGACAGGAGAATCTTGCTACCACTCCCGTTCGGTCCCCTTGTGCTGCCTGATCTAGTCGAGAGGTGCCGTCCCTGGCGGCAGGGAGGCTGGATTAAATGATCTCTGAGGTCCCTTCCAGCTCAGGCCGTTCTATGATTCCATCATCGCTAATCTCAGCCCAGGGCAGTGCCTTTGAGGGAGAGCCCACAATGCTGGGCATACCTCCACCTCCACCTTTTTTCCCCATTTTATAACTACCACAGTGCTTTGTAGAGAGAAAAAAACCACACAAAAAACCCCATTGCTAGAAATGATTTCGGAAACGTAGCAGCGTCAGTGAAAGTAAAACGTCTACATGGCAAACACGTTTATCCATGCTACCTGCTACAAAACCCCGTAACACACTCCTGGCATAACCACCCCTCAAACACAGACACACAGAACCACATAACTTCCAGAGCTATTTTAGGAGAGGGCACATCATTCCCTGAAAGTAATTCCAAGGTTGCTATTTGTATTACACAGATTTAGGCCCAACACGCACACACAAAACCCAAAAAGTGAATTAAACCCCACAATCTGCCAGAAGATCAGATAAGGCCTGAGAGCACCTCACCTCGCTTTCAGCTAGAGGAGGCTTAGGGAGTACAAATCCTGTTCGGGCAGGGATTGGGGATCATCCCTGAGCCAAACAGCACCAAGCAGGCTGCGGCACACCGGCCCACAGATCAAGAAGCCAAGTCAGTCTCCCGCAGCACGTGTACGATGTCACTCGCGGTGACTTTTCCCTGAGCTCACGCGGTTTTGCCCGCTGTGTTCGAAGCGGCCCTGAAGGCGCTGCACCCACTGAATAACTCTCAATGACCGCACGAGAAACAAACATTTTGTCTGCTCTCGGCAAAACATCTCAACGCCGCGGCCGAGCGATGGGTTTTTCAAGCAATGGTTAATTCCAGTCAGGCAGGAAAAAAGCAGCGAGTTCCCAACATTATTTCCTTGACCAGTTTTGAAAAAAAAAAGCAGCTGATGACACGTGAAACACGTGTAAAACAAATCTCTTACTGAGCAAACTGCTTTGGAGCAGCAAGCTGCACCATTCCTTGTCTGAAAAGGCAGCAAGTTTGTCCAGTTTCAATACACCAAGAGAAGAGCGACTGCGCGTTACGCAGACCCACGCTCCGGCATTCAGGCATCGCAGCTGCACAACGTTGTCCTTCTGTGGCCAGGAAAGGACATTGGGAGCAGCTGAAATAAAGCCAACACGAGAGCAGGGCCTGCACCCGTAGGATGTTGTATACTGAAAAAGCAGAGGCTTCCTGCGGTTACCATCACCTTCCTCAGCACTAAAGGCTGTATTTTGAAAGCAGCCATATCTCGACTACAGCTGTTTAAAAAGCAAAGCCCCCTGTTTGGTTCTGTGTGTTAAGTCGGGTTGTTGATTTTCAAATTGCAGATCTATTTAAAAAAAACAACAAAACAACAACCACCACCAGTCTAGGAAGGGAAGAAAACCGTCCTTTCATCAGTAAATCTGTTCTGGCCCAACACTGCAACATGAACTGATTACAGTTTTCATTACGGAAAATTCAAAATACACCACATCTGGATTTTGTAACAGTTTGAGGTTTGTTTGTTTGTTTAGTTTTTAATGGCAGTTACTGTTAAACATTTTTCATTTTGACGGTAGGGAAGCTCTGTTTTTCTTAGAAATAAAATTAGATCCAACGCAATCAAGCCGAGAGTGAACTTTGAACTCAAGTGAGCACTCACTGCAGTCCCAAAACAGATGAAGTGAACTCTCACATATAACCCTACACAGACCCAGCCTGTTCCAGACTCGGCTTTTTATCTGATACCCTTGACAACTTCAGCAGATTTGCAGGGTGAAAGATGTCCAGAAGTTGCACAGACACTTTGGTTTTATGCATCAGGAACTGCTGCCCTGTTGAAAAGGTGGTTAGACATCCCAATTGCCAGCCAAGAAATCGACTTGGAGATTTTTTTTTCCCCTGTGGAATTCAGCTTGTAAACCCCATCAGTCCTACAGGCATCCTTTTGTTTGCAAAACAGAGGTGCGGGTTAATTTCTGTTTACAGCAGGAAACCAGCAGATCTCAACAGCATACCTGCAGCTGTGAAAACATCCACACGCAACCCTTTTAATTAAAAAAAAATAAAATTAACCTCAAGCTGCAAGCCAGAAATTGTTAAACATGCTTTACATTTTTAAACATGCAAATTAAGAGACAGCAATTCCCACAAGGCCCAAACAGATGCAGGAAGTCTCCTCAGGCAAAGCCAAGGGGCAAAGTGTTGGTGCCAGGAAGCCAAGCGGGAGCTGCCCCTGGGACTGACGGAGCTCCCGAAATCGCCCCCACGGGCTCCTCGGGCAGTGGCTTAAACACGATGGCACGTTGAGGCCGAGCAATTTCGGAGAAGCTTCACCATCATCCCTACAACACGGGCTTCTAAGGAGGAATTTTGCCTGAGTGGCCTCTGAGGTAGGAAATCTCACTCCAACCACACTTGCGCCTGAGGGAAAGCTTTTGTGATTCTGTGTCTTGCTGCCCACTCGCTTGGCCAGCTTAAAGGTTTATCCCGGAGACGCCGCCTTTTATCTTCAAGCACAAGGCTTCTCTCTGTTGCCTACATCAGTCAGTATTTGCAGAAGAAACTGCACAAACTCTCAAGCCAGAAACCTGGATCCAAGTAACTTCATGAAGTTAACCCCTACACACAGTAACATTACTCACGAGCAGCATTTTCTTCACCCCAACAGCCATTTTCTATTTTAAGTCACTTAAAATTAGTACAGTTTATAAATGCATACAAAGTTACAAAACAAACCCATGAAATAACTCCAAGACATTTAGAATGCAAGGAGGATTTTTCCCATGTAACAGATGAGACCGGGGCCAGCAAGCGAGCAAATGAAAAGGAGAGTACCCCACGGGTGGGCTCGCGTCTCTTGGCAACTTTAGTAATGCCCCTTGCATTTTAAACACCCCAGGTTCCCACTGCTCTACTGACATGCCATACCTGAGCTGCCACAGGTTAGTAGTGCTTTGTTAGTCGATTTGAGATGCCCGGGAGAGTTTAGTGCATTGCTACAGGAGCCTGGCTCTGTATTCAAGTTATACGTGCTTGGTGATGCCAATGGACTGCAATACAGGTTTTTCCATCTACTGGCTAGAAGGAAAAATACAAAAAAGCCGTAAAGGTTATCAAATGATTCTGAAAAACAAAGAGCGTAAGATAAAGGCATCAGATCAAACAAGATTAAATACCGTAACAGATAAATAAGCCATCTCGACGCAGTGGGTTACAAGGTGGAGGAAGCGACGCAGCGCCTGCTCCCGTGCCTCACTCTCCCCTTTAACTGTTTTGTCACTCCTGAAGAATTCCAAGAATAACTACTGACAATACTTGGCTGTAAAGAAGCCCTACGTTCCTGAAAGTGTCAGTGCTGGTCTTCAAAGACGACTCTTCTCAGAAAGAGCTACACCCCATCTTAAAGAACTCCACTGAGCTTTATGTTTATGTACGTGTTATTTTGAATTTTTAATGATGAAATCAAAACAGCATTAAACCACCAAAGCTGTGCTTTCGGATTAAAAGGAATATGAAACAGCAACCATTTGGAAATATTTCTTCAGCACACGGACTTGAATATGAGTTAGTGAAATAATCAAAAGAAGCCAGGTGGCAAAACTGAGCGCATCCAGGCGCACTGAAGGTGCAAATAAGCAGCTACAACGCTCAGAGAAAGACTCCATCTCTGATCTTTATATATTCACGGGGCTGATGAAGTGCCCTCCAAACGCTCATCACTGGGGGAACGGTAGCTAAGAAAACGAAGAAGATTCATTATATAAAAAGCTTTCTTTTCTTATTTCCCCCACAAATAAACAGTCAGACTATTTCGGTTAAAAAGGAGTGACAGTACAAATAAAGCCTGACACACTTCAGACAGAAAGCAAAGCGTTAACAAAATGAATCTTCATTCGGATTTCTAAACACAGATGGTTTGTACAAGTAAATGAAGTTTGTTCTCAAACCACATTCGGTTATCTCCAATCAGGAATTCCAAGGCCGAACTCAAAACAAGCCTGATCGCAAGCAGCAGTCAAAACACTGTTAGTATGTAAACTCCAAAACCAAGCAAAACCCAAACCAGAGCGGTGGTTTCTCAGCCTTCAGCCCACCGAGGTCAAATTACTGCTCCAACTGAAATGAAAACGATGGCGTTCGCGCGGAGGGCCAAGCCAGCCACATCAAAACCCGGCGGGCAACAGCTTCTGCGCCAGGCTGGGGGCTGCGCTGGCAGCAGTTCAGCCCATCCCTGGAATCCAGAGCTTCACTTCTCTCAGACGCTTCACTGTTTCAGTGCAGCCTGGGCGCTCAGCTGTTGGCCAGTCGAAGCAGACAGACGCGGCTGTAACACGGCCGGCCCTGCAACGCTTGGCGGGGATGAGTTGTTAGAAGAAAAGAATAAAACCAGTCGCCCCTCCAGCTGCAGAGCAAGTCACAGCTGCCCACGCAGGGAAGCGGCCTGACAGAGGAGAGGATTGCTCCGTCACTTCAAACCCCTCGCCTGTCACCAGTCTGGCCCGTTTTACACAAAACCCAGGGGGCATCTGAAAAGGCAACGGCAGGACATCCACCAGGGAGACTCCAGGTGTGGAGAAAGAGAATCAGCTGCCCTGTTCCATAATGACACAAACTGCACTTCTGGTCTAACCGCTCTCACGCCAGCGAAAGCTGATGTGGGACTGATCCTTCCGCACTCTCAAAACCAGCAGAACCCCCTAAACCTAGAACCTCGGAGCAGTGACGGGGACGGTGGTGGGGGACCGCCGAACTATGCACCGCTGCGTTCTCCTGTGGGGTGGGTGAAGAAAGGCATCCTCCCTCAGCAGTTAAGTCACCGTGAGGCGCTTTTAGGGGATAATAAAACTGGACGAAAAACTAGGTTTCCAAGCAACACCACTTCTTAAAGCTGCAGATTTTAATCCTTCACTGTTGTGAGCTTCAAGCATCAGACAACTAGTGTACCCAGGTAATAACACTGGTGGTAAGATGGGGTAAGAAGAATCACCACCAGAAACACCCAGCAACACTAGAACTCTTTTTATAGGAAAAAGCTGCAGTAATAGTTTGGTTTGATGCTCTCCCACTCCCCAGAAACACTTTTTTCCCCCTCTGTACATAGTTTTTGTATATTGAGGATGTAACCACAGCTGCACCAGTGTGCACCCTGAGCCTGAAGCGCTTGCTCTGCAGATGTTCCCCGCTACAGCCGACGTAAACTCCCGTGTGCTTCGCTTTACTGGTTCTCAGTAACATAAAGGACACAACTGGAAATAAAACACTCGCAGCAGCGGCGCCGGCCGCTTACGTACCTTGATCCAGTCTGTTTATAAGAGTTCGGCAGGCTGCTTCGGTCTCAGGACTGGGATTATCCAATACCTGGCGACACCATTTTAAAGGGGAGTCCGTTTTCTGATCTACGGTAGATTTCCTCGGGGACACGTAAAGCCTTTGCAGGGGTTGAAAGGAAAAAAACTGCTTATTAACTCAAAGCATACAGCCACCAAAGCAGCATTGACTAAAGTCACCAAACAGAAAGTAACAGAAAAGGTATCCAAATTGAAAACAGCACCTCACAGGACCTTACTGAAACACCAGGGTTCAAGCTAAGTAATCTTAATATGTATTTACCGTGCTACAAATGCATTGCTACAAAAATATACTTAAAATAGTATTGTGCTGCAGTCGTTCAAAGATGACACGAGGATTCACAGGCAGGAGGAAGCTCTGTGATGACGAACTTAAGGACCTGCATCTGTGCAGTTTCTGGAAGAGCCTGCGAGGCCATTACCTCTGAACTCAATAGAAAACCAGGGAGGAGATTTCCGAAAGCAGAAGCTTCTCTTGATCTCGTTAGCAAGGCCGGAAGACTCTTCAATTGAAGTTTTGAACTACTGAGTTTATCCACAACGTAATTTCTTAGAATTAAGCGGACCAGAGGAAGGCGGCCTCCAGGCCTTCGAAGCTGTGTAGACACTGAGCACTTTTCTAGAAGGGATCTGCTTTGAGACTAAACTGTGGGGGGTGAGCGTGCGGGGACCTGAGAGAAGGGCACAGCCCCGACCTCTTCTGTGCCAAGAAAACTCACATAAACAGGCTTTGGGGTTCATCGTCTCCCGTGAGAGCACACAGTCACACAATGGATATTTTTTCCACCTTCACCTCCAGCACCAGCCCGGTACGGCTTCCCCCAGCGAGCTGCCCGAGGGGGACACAGAACCCCCCTGCTCAGCAGCAAACCAGCTACAGCCACACCTCATGGCTGTCCTCACGCTGACGTGCACATAATATTTCACCTTCCTCAGTGCATAATCCAGTTTTTGAGCACAAAGCGATGGGGAGGATGGTTTTAAGATTCCCAGGACTGTCTGCATGCGCTTTAGCTGCCTCCTACTCTCTCTTCTAGCAACAACTTCTGACATTCCTGCAGCAAGAGACATCGAGTCTTTCTGCTCCAGTTACTCATTCTCACACAGACATCCCATGTTCAATTCATAAAACACTCCTTTCCCCAACAAAACTGATAAAAATCATCAGCTCCTGACACCACCTGGTTCTCGGCTATTCTCCGCTGCCTCTTGACATTCCACTCGTGACTTTACAGATCTCGGCACCACCCCTGGCCAGACCCATCTCTTTGGGTAGCAGAGATTCAATCTCTTCAGTCATGGCTCATAGAGAAGCTTTACACAAAACCATGCGCAAATTCAAAAATATAAATCCAAAAGCTAATTTGCTATTGCCACAATAAACGCTGAGGAACACGCACACAAGCAGTCCTGGATGTGCAACGCTGTCTTTTATAAAAGAGCCACAAGCGTATCTCGCTGCGTTTCTGCACGGGCAAACGAGCATCACAACCACTCAGATCCAATAAAACAGAGAAAGCAAAGTGCCCTCTCTCAGCTCAGCCCAAAAAAAGCAGCAATAAAACCATCACGCACAAAAAAAAAGAGGCCAACAGCCTCCTCAGGGCAGGTCACGCTGTTCTTCACCTATTCTAGGAGAAAACCCTGCTCTACTTCCCCAAGGAGATGTTCCAGCCAGCTCCTGCCACGCTTCTCCTGGGCCTGCCCAGGACACGGCACCACCTGTCGGACCGCCCCAACTGCTGCCCGGGGAGCAGACCTACCGGGTTTGATTTCACTGCCCCAGGTTTACTATTTGATTCTTTAAGTAGTTTTGGGAAGGGTTCAACACGCTCAGCAAGCCAACTTCTCGGCCTGTGCCGGCACAGCTTGTGCTTCTGGAGCACCAACAAACCCACACCTCCAGCCCCACAAAGAAAAATGAGAATTTTTACAGACACAACATAAAGAACCTTTTACCAGAGGCCAGGTCGGCACAGGACCACACCTCCAGCTCAGCTAAACCAGGCTTTCTTCTGGGAGGGGTTTTTACGACAAACTACAATCACTCTGTTTAAAAAGCATGCAGAGTCTTATTTGTGGTAGTTTATCCTCTAAGGCTGTTTGATTTGTCAGGTTAACTTAATGAAGAAGCACTGGAGAACATGCCCTGGGGCACGCTGTCCGGTGTGCACAGGGCTGCCAGCTCCGAGCCGGCCACAGTTTAACAAATACCCGAGCAGTGAACCAGCTGTACCTTGCCCGCTGCTGCCACAACTCGCAGCCCGGCTGCGAAGCACGTTGTGTTTACCCGGCAAAAGGCTGCGCTTGGAATATTTTGTCAAATCACAAATGACGATTAAGACGCTACTTCGTTACAAGGCATTCTACAAAATTCAGAAAGTAAACATCAGTTTGATGTATGCGCGTTTTGCTGCCCAGCTTATTAAATATGAATGAGATTTTCTTCAGCTTCTGTGAGAAAACCCTCAATAAAGCATCTTTCGTTTCTGCCCTGTATGAAGCATTTTATGAAACTCACCTCTGGTAAGAGCCAAGTAGTTTTAGTTAAGCAGCAAGCCCAACAGGAGATTTTTCTTCCTTTACAAATGTAGGCACCCAAGAATAAATCTTTGCGCTTTATTCTGACATATCGCAATGTGCTAAAAGCAGAGCATCTTCTAGAAACACTACTTTTCTTTTGAGGTCAATGTCACAGGAGGATTTATGGGAGTTAATGGCCTCTACTGTTTGATTTCGAAAATATTGTTTTAAACTAAAAAAAAAAAAATACACCAAGAATTTAGGAGACGCTATGGCAACTTTCTCAGCTTGCAAACTGCACTGTAAAAACCCCAAACATCTTCGCAACTGAGTAACACATCAGATCCACTGTACGAGTGCAAGCCAGTCCTGCCTGAGAATTCAAGATCTGGGATATTTACACTGGTACATCTACAGACCACAAGAAGAGAATTCAGGCTGCAGAAAGCTTTGTAACTACTACATTAGTAAAGTAAACTAGAAGTAGAATGAAGCTCAGTCTTTAAGACACAGCCTTGGATTATTAAACATCTTCCACAGCACGTAGCACCAGGAGCTACAGCAGCACCAAAACCAGCAGAATTACACCAATTTTCAAACCTTGGAGTTACACACATCCGTGCAAGGAGCAAGAGACCTGAGGTAGCTACGTATGTGTGCAACAGTTTAGGTTTGTAAGATTTGCCTCCGTGAAGTAAAATCTAAACTCTAGAATTCTTCCAAATTCTAGAATTACAAGTTAAACTTTCTGAATTCTAAAATTCTTCAATAAAGCAGGTATTTCAAACAGATAATATATCCATTTTCCCTCCCCAGCCTCCCTGTAGGTTCCCTTCGGGCACTGCAGGCAGGGATAAGGTCCCCCCAGAGTCTTCTCGTCCCCAGCTGAACACCCCCAGCTCCCTCAGCCTGTCCTCGCAGCAGAGCTGCTCCAGCCCCTGGGTCATCCTTGTGGCCTCCTCTGAACCCCTTCCAACAGACCCACGTCCCTCCTGTGGCAGGGACACCAGAACTGGGCGCAGCGTTCCAGGTGGGGTCTCACAAGAGCAGTACTTCATGGTTCAGAGCGAGGTGGAATTTCAATCATTTCATCCTAATTCCCACTCCAAATTCTCTCTCCCAAGTCTTACCGGGAGAAAAGAACCGACAACTGGCGAAACACCAACCAAGCAGCACGGGAACGCTCAGCGGAACGCTGAGCACAAATCACTGCATGAAGAGTAACAAACACAGAAAAACACAGCTTAATTCTCCTACTCGAGTTGCCCCTAAGAATGACAAACACTCAGGAACTCAAACCAGGTAACGCTGCTGCAAACACATTTCGTTTGTTCTCTTCTGCAGGGGGAACAGCTTTTCCACAAACGGCTCGGGAGCTGACCTGTGCAAACTGGTAACCAGCAAGGGGCAAACAGCACTGAGCAGGTTCAGATCGCACTGAGCTCACCGGCACAGAAAGGAGACTTCCACTCGACTGGGCCCCAAGGATATTTACAATTTTGAGCAGCCATCTGAGAAAGCGACCTAAGAAAGCAAGTCAGGGGCCTGACACCAGAGGAGGACAGGGTTACAGCAGCACCTCATGTTTCACCCGAGTTCAGCCATCGTTTTTAACAACAAAAAAACCTCAAACCACACAAACTTGCTGGAGCCAAGGGATGCTGCGCACAAAGGTTTGCAGTTTTGATCCAAATAAATGCAGTAATTTCACAACAGAGCAGAGACTGAAACTCTGTCTGCACCTGCAGAGAACAGGAACAAACCCTCTGACCCTCTCCTCCGCGCTTCCACCTCTGTCCTCCCCGGGCGATGCTTTTTGCTGGTCCCACTGCTGCTCGAGTGGCAAAACCCCACCCTGGCACACTTCACCAGAGCTTTGAAACCTGCTCTGAGGTCACAGCACCAGGCTGCAAGAGAAATGACCGTGAAGTCTGGGCCTGTGCTTAAAGCTAGAATGAGATGAAGATATAAGCACTAAAGCCTCTCTTTTTAAAAGCTTCCCACTCCACACCCCCTGTGTTAAACAGTTTCTCACTTTATTAGAATACAAAACTAGTTCTTAGTATTCTTTAAGGGATTCTCTAAAGCATCATTCCCTCTGCTACAAGATATTAAAGAAAGGGTCAGCAAACCAAAAGGACCAGACTGTTAAAATTTACCAATTCAGCAGTGCCAGGAAAAAACAGCCACTGTGAATTTCTCAGAAATTGCCAAAAATCGTTAAGTATCGAAGAACGCCTGATGCGTTCCAATACTAGCTAGAGGCTTTCTTCCTAATAATATTTTAAAAAAGGACCACAACCGTAAAAACAGAGCAAGCTACTCCCTTTGACTAATACACTGCTTGGCACATTCAGACCCTACTTCCACCCAGGCAGTACAAAACGCCCTGTTAATCAGCAAAACCACTTTATTAAAGTTGATTCTAAATCCACATAGCATTAAGGGGGTTTTTTTGTTCTTTTCAAATGCCCCCCCCAGCCACTGTGTTCTGGTTATCGCACGACAGCATGTGAGACACGTGCTTACAAGGAGAACTCAGGGTATCTGGCAATAAGCACCGCCAGGCACTGCTGCCAGGACGTTCATTATTCGCTCCCCACTTCCAGCTCAGCTGAAGAGCTCTGGAACTAGAAGCCACCGTAAAAACGGCTTCTTGTTTTACCAGGTTTGTCTGACAAGAGGAAAACAAGACAGAAGCAATGCATGACGATTAAAGGCAAATTATAGCAACATAACTTGCACAAGAGCTGCACGATACCACCTTCACTGAAGCTCCTTGGGGCATCTCTTTTTAATCTGTTAGCCTGCATTAACCAAATCTGGCAAGAACCCACAGGTATTAAGAACACAAAGATGCCACAAGGTGTGGTGAGAAGGGTACCTGGTAAAGAAGAGCGGCCTTTCAGCCACCAACTCCAGGAAGAGTTAATAAACTGAGCCTGTGGGTGCAGAACCTCTCCTGAACACACTGGGCAATATTTGCTGCCCTGGTAAACCTGGTTTCTCTACCAAGTCAATACAGTTTGAAGAATCTCTCACAGGCTGTGCAGACATCGACACAAAACTATCTGTTCTCACTAACGTGGAAATAATGAAGCCTGTCTTCCAAATTTCACTTGCTAAATATATTCCCTTATTTATTTTTTTATGAAAGAAATAAGCTCAAAACTGTGTTTAAGTGTGCTGAAGTTTCACTGATCGGGTCACAACCAGTATTTGGGTTATAAAAGAAAAATTGCAAAGGCAGAGAAAGGAAATTCTGCTGACTTATAAAACAAGTTCTAAACAAGGCTGCTGGTGAAGGGGAGAGCCCTACAGAGTGAGGTCAGCTAAGGATTACATCACTGATCTGTTCCAGTTCATGTCTTTAAACAAAAGAAACAAGTTAACTGCAAGGAAACTCCGTATTCAGGAAGTGGAAATGGGTTGTAGTCTCAGAGACTAACAAAAACTACAAATGCCAGATGGTCTGAGGTCTCAGCTTGTGTTTTACAAAATTCGTATTTAAATACAGTATTTGACAGTTTAAAAACTCCATTATTCATTCACCTGCACACATTACACATAAAATAAACCAACAGGGAAAAAGTTTTGGGTGCTTGCTACGGTAGCGTCAGGAAGAAAGTGGAAAAGTGAAGCCTTATAGTTAGATTGATTTAAAACAAAAAAAATAATGCTCTGGCACAAAATTAATGCCAGCCAATAACGAGAACTGCATTCTTACTGCTAACAAAATAAATAAATAATCAAAGACTGTACAGAGAGCACTTTATACCCTTAAAAATTATTGCACACCTAAACACAGAAACTCCCAACCACAGCAGCCCGAGTTCCACACATTGCTAAAGTCTGGAGACACGTACCAGCTATCTTCCTCTTCGCTGCAGTTTTCGAGTTCCAACACTTTCACTTCATCCAGATCCGCGTTACTCGAAAGACTCGGTAGATCTCCGCATTTTTCCCTGGGATTTCGTTCACTTATTGTAACGGCGGGATCAGCACCTGCGGTGACCAAGTCTCTCCCGAGCTCTGCGCCGTCCCCCGCGCCCGTCCACAGGGAACACCTCACGTCATCGTCGCTCTTCGCTCCCGCCTTACGCCCGTCGCAAGGCAACTCCTCGGTGGCGCTGCCGCAGCTACAGCGCTCTTGGGCATCCAGGTCTTTCCTCAAGCAGTTGTTCTCTCCTTCCTCTTTTCTCATCTTGCTTAACTGACTGTGAATATCTGCCATTATCTGCAACTCCTGCTGCTCCGTCCTGGCGTTGATGCTGTTATGAATTTCCATCCCGTTCAGGCCGGAGCCGTGGTTATCCACGCCAGGACGGAGCTCGCTCTGCAGGTTTGTCCCGAGCACGCTGCTCCTGCTGCTTTTCATCCTGGGGTGCTGGTTCTCCAGCTCCAGCCTCCTCACCAGCTCCCGCAGCTTCCGCACCTCCTCCAGCTCCGCGCCGACCTCCTCGGAGGCTGACTCCGTGCCGGGGCCCATGGCAGAGTTCTCCGGTGAGTCCCGTCCCAAGTCAGGCTCCAGAGCATGGTCCTGCTGGATGATGGGAGCGCTTCCCGGCACCACCATCATCCAAAACACACAGTTTTGCTGCAAAACAGAAACCAAAAAAAAGTATAAAAGCTCCGCAACGACGTGCAGTGTTTTAAGGAAACTGGAATTAAACATCAAAAAGTTTGATTTTTACAAGCGCGTAACAGGAGTGTACAAGGCGACTGAATCTGATCAAAATCTTTGACAAAGAACAAGCGAAATCAGCGTAAAACACTTCAGCAAACACAAATTCCTCATTTTGAACAGCGAGGGTGTGCAACTATCACGCTACAAGTCAGACTGTATCAAAGGAAGCTGACCTAATCCCGCGCAACAGTTTGTTTCCCACCTGTTTACCAACAAAATACAGGAGAAAAGCACTGACTGAGCAAAGTCAGGAAGCACAATTAGCAAGGTGCTGACGTCAGACAATGGCAGCATTAGGAAAATAGTAAAAACATCCTTTGTTCATTACCAGGTTTATCCTGGAAAAGCAGAAAAAAAATTGAAAACATTTCTGTATCAATTTATACCAAAGATTAATGACAATGACCAGCGACAGGAACAGCATTTTCTGTGGTACGTGAAAATAAGCGTAATGAGTGTCTTTCCTGGCATATTTTCTTGTTACAGCTGAAAAGAGAGAGACAAGTGCTTTGATACCAAAAAAAAAATTATATATATTACACCACCTATGTCACTAAGTTTCATAAAACGCAGCCACCTCTGCTTTTCCTGGCTTAAGCGCTACTATTCCTCCTGTGGTTGTGCTGACCAAGAAAGAGCGCAGAGATGAAACTGCACGTGCACTCAGGCTTCCAAAAGTCAGAAAATAACACCGGCGCCGATTTACAGGAGTTTCCAGTCCCAGCGCGTGTGCACGTTTCTGAATTGACTCTTCACTGAAAAGCCTCCCATGGGAGACCAAGGTTCCACCGAGCAAGTAAAATGGATCCCCCTAAAAAAAAAATGATAAATTCTTCGTATTTTGCGGAAGGCAGGCAAACCGAGCAACAGGCAGAAGAGAGAGTTGGGTGACAAAAGGTTTTAAACACAAGAGGTTTAAAAGATTCGATGCAGGCACTGCATTGGAACCCTGATTTTGGGGAGCTGTAGATGTTCTTCCCCCTTCTCTTTGCTGTCCAGAAATGCTTCCTGGTTTTAAGGCCCAACTGCCAGCAGGTAGAGGAAACCACAGAAATTCGATGTCACACAAAGCACACAGAGCAGGCAAGATTAAAAACTGAGACACCCTCCATGCACGCAATCTCGTTATTACTCAGTTTCTGGTAACAGCAGTAGTTACCTCTCCTAAAAAAAATCCAGTTTTGTTTTGGGATTGTTTGAGTCGGGTTTTTTCCACTTGACAAGTTTTCTGTTTATGCTGGTCCTCTACAGGCAAGAGGAAAACGTTAGGCTGACGTTTGAAACGACAGTGACCGCCAACAGCGCGCTGCGAAGAGCTGCAAGCGAACAGAGCTGACTGCAGCGCTTTCCAAATCACGCCTGTGTAAGAAGCATCGCTGAACTCGCTTCGACCTGGGGAAAAGAGATTTTAATTTGCAGTTACCCAGCAATCCCATTCCCAGTCATGCGCCCACTTTGAAAACCTCCTCATGTGCACTCTCGCTCCTGTAAAAAAAAATCTCCCGATGATTAATGGAACTAGTGTGATTTCCAGGGATATTCCAAAGCCACCACTCAGCGACTCACCAGCAGGAGGTTAAGAGTTCTGCTGCCAAAGCAAAGCACAACGACCCAAGGAGGGGGGAGCAATGGGATCTGTCACCCGAGAAAAAAAAAAAATAGAAAAAAATCAGTTCTCCTCCACGGCTGAGGAGCAGCAAAAACTGCCTTTTCATTCCCGGAGGGAGGGGAACCAGGAGATTCAAACCGTTTAGTTCCCACGAGCAGTGAGCCTAAAGAAAAAAAAATAAAATAAACCAAAACAATGAAAAAAAGCAGCGAGGATACAGGAGAGGGGGGAAAGATAAACCCGAAAAACTTAATTTCAATGCATAATGTAAAGAAATAAAAATAATTTTTTTTAAATTAAAAA